CTGGTTTGCTAGTCCTAATGTGACAGCCACTGTATAATTTCTGGCAAAGCAAGCATCCCATGGATACTTTGTGAATGTAACTACTTTTCTGATGAAGATGCCATCAGTACTGAACAGCAGTAGTTGTTTTTTATTGCGATCAAGTATTATAGATTTACCATCAGGTTATATAAGACAGGCCCATATATTTAACTTCATATCTATTGGACTTTTTAGTCTTGTCAACAAGGATGGCTTTATTTGTTCAATTCCAGGAACTTTTGGAACCAAGTGCTGGGCTTGATCTTTTCTTCCGGTCTTTAGTCAAAGTGTAGAAGAGGTGGTATTGATATTAATATCTCCAAATGATTTGACATTTTGTCTGATTGATTGAAGAGCAGATGAAATGTTAAACTCTAGATTCTTTTCAGTGAAGTTGTCTCCACTTTCTAAATCTTCTATATATTTTGCTGTTTGTGATGTAGTTTTCTCAATTTCTCTCAGACCAACATACATTTGTAGTTCTGTTGCATGTTGTGTCATTTTGGTAAACTGACTCTGCATTTGGTCTATCTGAATGGCTCCCTGTTCCAATTTTTGCATGTGAGTGGCCATGTGTAATTTAAGCTTTAAATGTTTAGACTCTAAATCATTACGTATGTCTTGCTCTAATTTGTTTAGGTAATCATCGATCGTCTTCCTCCAATACCTGATTTCCTCAACAGCTTTGGTTTTCTGAATATCGATGGTACTGATTCTGGTTTTCAGGTACTTTATGGCTGTATCTAAGTTTTCCTTCACATTCTTCAAATCTTTTTCAAAAAGTTGTACTGAGGCAGATGATTTTACTTGCTGTAGGATATCAGACAAGGGTTTCATGTCTTGACATTTCTGGTGCTTATCAGTGATGCACTGGACACAGCATAGACATGCATGGAAAGAACAATAAAGTTCAAACTTCTTTTTATGGTCTCTGCATTGACTACTTATTTCTTTCATGAATAAAGATAACTTTTGGTAATCTTCAGCAGACATGGTTTTATGGTTCTTAGACAGATGTGACTTGCTGTGAGGTTTTTCACAGTCTCCACAAAAGAAAACCTCACATTCTGTACACCATGTGACTGCTGAGTTGGAGATTCCATCATCATGGCAAATTGTACAAAAGTGCTTGACTGATGAGGCCATTACTTTTTTTCTTTATATCTGAAATAATGGGGAAAAATATCAGAAATGATTTATTCAGTTATATATGAAACAGTTTGCCCCAAATATTACTGTGGTAAGTAGTGTGTATTATAAATGCATGTTGAGGCCTTATGTCCTAATATGTAATGACAAATATACCCTGGTACTACATGATACATATTCACAATTCAATTATAAATTAAAAACCAATTGTTCATAGAACAGTTGAAGAAGCTACCTGCAGTTTACTCAAAGTAACTATTGGTGTCAAATCAAATCAAATACTGATTAAAAAAATATATGGTTTCTCTGCACTTTTTGTCTGAAAAAAGGTAGATAATTTGCTACTTCCGGTTTACAAAATGTCACTTTTGGTCTCATATGATAGCTTTAGTCACGCTGATTCCAAAAATATATGTTTCTATATACTTTTGCTTGAAATAAGGAGATAATTTGCAACTTCCGGTTTCAAAATTTCACTTCCAGTACCATCTGATAGGTTTCTTCACACTTATTCCAAAAATATATGGTTCTAGGTACTTTTTAATGAAATCAGTGTAGGAAATAGCTACATCCAGTTTACAAAAGGTCACTTCAGCTGACGTATTCAAAGTCATATATCTACCAACCTAAAACCCCATAGCTTTATCAGGTATAAATATGAATTGATAGCAAGGTCAAGATCTAGAACATCAAATTTTGCTTTGACCTTGACCTAAATTTCAAGGTCATAAAGCAAGGACTTCAAATCAAATGACCCTAAGTCTCTTCTGTATAAAGTTAATGAGTTATATCCCAGTACAGCTAATTTTAAACATAAGAAGGGAGGAAACTCCCATTAAATGTCGACCCACACGTTTAACTAAAATATATATGTTACGACATGTCGTAGCTAACAGTTAAGTTAAAATATTTTGTCATTCTCTTATACAGTTTCTGAGGAGAAGCAATAATTAGCCAAAATCAAAATTTAGAACATAACCCTGACCTTTGACCTTGACCTCATTTTCTTTTTTGGTGGACCCTGGACCTCATATGACTTATGGTTTACCAGTTACAAGTACATTTCAATTATATCTAATACATAAGGGGAAATAACTCTCACATGGAGTTTCTGGATTGCTTCGGTCAAATTTTTTGTTCGACATCCTGAGGATATGATGAGCAATTTGGAAAATTAAATTTGTCAGTTTCTTTTTCTGTTGCAAAGGATTAGAGATAACAAGTAAAACAGTGTTTGGGGAGATAACTCTTAGAAGGAAAAGTGTTCAGTTAAACAGTGTCAGTTTCAAAAGCATATAAACTGTTCTATATCATACACAAAATATCTAAGCAACATCTTGCGAATCAAAATCTTCTCGCAGGAATAAAAAGTGGCAGAAGAGAAAAAAAGAAAATTAAAAACCAATTGTTCAGAGAACAATTGAAGGTCTTTTCACCCCTAATGCATATATTTTGATAGGGAAATATTCACTTACAGTTTAAAATGTCAATTGTGATGTCAGATAATAGCTTGATTTACGCTGATTTAAAAAAAATATATGGTTTTATGCACTTTTGCTAATAAGAAGGTGGATAAGTAGGTACGTTTTACTCTGCATATTGCTGTGTGTTTGTTTATTCCACATTGGCTAGATGTATAAGGGGAGGGTTGAGATCTCACAAAACATGTTTAAACCCACTGCATTTTTGCTCCTGTCCCAAGTCAGGAACCTCTGGCCTGTGTTAGTCTTGTATTTTTTTTTTAATTTTGGTTCGTTTATATGTTTAGGAGTTAGTGTGACATCCATTTTCGATGAACTAGTATACGCTATTGTTAGGGGCCAGCTGAAGCCCTCCTCCAGGTGCGGGTATCGCTGTGTTGAAGACCCATAGGTGTCCTTGGGCTGTTTTCTGCTCTTTGGTCGGGTAGTTGTCTCTTTGACACATTCCTCATTTCCATTCTCAATTATACATCCTGCTTAAAAAAATTCACTTCGAGTTACATTTGAACTTGACTTAACACTGATTCCAAAAAAAAAGTTCTAGTAACTTAGACATGAATATAATGCAAACATGACTACTTCTGGTTAATAAAAGGTCACTTCTTGCTGACTTTCTTTAAGGTCATATCTGCAACCCAATGTAAAAGACCCTATAACTTTATCATGTACCAAGAGTAAGTTACAGTAAAGGTCAAAATCTAGTACCTCAAATCAAAACACCGTAGATCTCTACTTTATATGGCTAATGAGTTATATCACCATACAGCTAGTTTTGACTAGAAGAGGGGAAAAAACTCCCATTTAATGTCAACGTAACCTTTCAACACAAATTTATGTGTTACAAAATGTTGCAACATAAATATAGTAAAAATATTTTATCGATATCTGATACGGTTTCTAATAATAAGGGATAACAAGCCAAAATCAAAATTTAGAACATGACCTTGACCTTTGACCTTGTCCTCATTTTTGCTTTGGTGGACCAAGGACCTCAAATCAGAATACCCTAGGTCTCTATCAACTTTGATCAGTTACTTATTTTAAATACAGAAGGGGAAATAACTCTCACATGGAGTCTACGGAACGCTTCGGTCAAAATTAAACGTAACATTCTGAAGATATAATGATCAATTTGGAAAAATGAATTTGTCGTCATCTTTTACGGTTGCGAAGGAGTAGTCATAACAAGAAAAACACTGTTAGGGAAGATAACTCTAACAAAGAAAAGTGTTCAGTTAAATGGTGTCAGTTTCAAAAGCACATTAACTGTTCGATATCATATACCAAATATTTAAGAGACATCTTTTGAAACAACAATACAGCGCAAGAAAAAATTAGGCAGAAGAAAAAAACTGAAAAAATAATAATCAGAACAAAAGCAAAAGGTCCTTTCCTGGAAAAGTGGAAAGACCTAATGAATTATAACATGTTTACAATAAATGAATTTACACTGTTCTACAACTGTGACATGCTTTTATATAGTCAGATGTTTTAGTGTCACCAAGGTCCCACAGAGCACGGTTAGATAAGGGGGAGCTAACTCGTATGTGCTGGAACCAAGGGACAGGGGGTCAGTCTATCGCTAGACTTAATTTTCTGATAGGCATAGCTAAAACGCAAGGAAGGTTTTTATAATTTAATTAACGATAACAATTTAGATGAATGATGATAACAAATCAATCAGTAAACAATGCCAAATAATAATAATAATTAAAGTACAAAGTAAAAAATCTAAATTTCAACTCCAAAGTAAAACTATTTCTCCTTACAATGTAAAATGTAAAATAAATGCCAAAACTACTAAATCATAAAATGAACTTAATCTCAAAATCAAAATGTAAAAGTCTCAAAAATAAAAGATTCCCAAAAGTATTTTCCAAAGTTAAATTATGAGTCAGAGATAAATTTTGTCTCAACACTACACAGTCAACTGGTAGACTGGTAGACAGTCTTATAGGTCCAGTATCATGACGTGAGTAGTGAGAGGTTACACTTCCGAAACACTGACTGCTTTCACAATGATATTTATACTAAATCCAAAAAAAAATAAATATGTCTCGACATGTTAATATTACTCTCATTAGCAAAAATAGAATTTAATTAACAAAGCTATCGGGATGTCGGATGATGTTTCATTGACATACATATACAACACATCTCCATTTTGATCCTTGTGTAAAATTTTGCCAACCACACAAAACTATAGTTTTTGTAAAAAAATATTTATTTGTATCCATAGAATTAATTGTCCCAGTCACTCCCCCTCTAAAACCCGTCTAGAGTTTTGAAAAAGTTTTAATTTTAAGTAATAAAAATAAATGAGCAATTGAATTAATTGAAAATTCTTACCATGAACATTTTGACAGAAAGGGATGTACACAGGGAAGAAATTATAAAATATCCAATATCTGGGACACTTTAATGGAATTGTTTATTCAAATTTTAATAATTGTTTCAGCAGTTTAATTTTTTTATGTTTAAACACAAATTTGATATGACTAATATGTACTTGAAGCACTTGACATTCTTTGAAAAATTGAGAGTTTTTGTAACAAATTAAATGAACTTTTAGTACATAAAATGAAAACAATTTTCACAATTGTTTCTCTATTAAACACTTTAAAAAAATCTTAAATTGGAATTAGTTTGGACTATCATGACATAATACATGTATACATATGTAGCTCTTAAGTAACGAAGAAGAAAGGTTTTTATTTCAGTTTAATTCATATTTAAAAGTGATACATGTTTGGAACTAGACATATATATATATCTAGCTTAAGTGAATACAGAAATGAAAACTGCCTTTTAGATGAAAGTAGCAATTACAATTTTGTATCATTCAATATATAAGTTCCTTGGACATGTCAGCATACAAACTGATCTTTCAAAACTCAAATGTCCTCTGTCATGTCGGTGTATATCAGTGTGCAAACTGATAGTTCCCAAGAAAAATAGGGTAGAAATTTAAATAAAATACTGCAGACATACACAGAAAAATTTTGTAAACATGGAAAATCTGTAGGTTTTGGGATATATAAGAGAATTACATCCAATCCATCTTTATCAAAAATATGGAAAAGGGACAATAATACACCTTAACATCAATATCTGCTCTTTGTTCCTTTAGAAAGCCCAAAAGAGTAAAATGTGCCAAGGGGGTAATAAAAACCATAACTCGAGGAAATTAGACTGTAAAAGAAATACAAAAAAAAATGTAAACAGCTGTCCACCTTGTGAAAGTAAGGAGGTATGGTATGATTACCAATACTTAGCTCTCCGCAAAGGAGAAATATGGAATTAAAGCTGAAAATTGAGCTTCACAATTAACCCCACCAAAAACACAGCATTAAGTCAGATAAGTAATATCAGCAGTTGAGTGTTTGATTGTAGATTCCAGTATATTACTTTTATCTTACTCTATAATCAAATAAGTTTTCACCAAAAAAAATGGTCTGTCAACATGAATTTCCAAGACCCTCCTCAATACTTGAATTGTTTTGCCATTTTATAAGGACAATGTCTTTAATTAGTCCCCTACTGACGAAGTCAAAGGGGACTTTAGGTTTGCATTCTGTCTGTCTGTCTGCTTGTCTTTCTGTCTGTCTATCCATCCATCAGTCCAGCTAATCAGTTTTCTGCACTTTTTTTGGTCATGCTTGAAGATATTGATTTGATAATTGGTATATAGTTTTATCATACCAAGTTACAGACCAAGTTCAAATTTTGTTCCGGTCTGATGATTTTGTGCAGAGTTATGGTCCTTGGACTTAGAAAATGCACTCAAATAATTCATTTTCTGCACTTTTTTTTGTCATGCTTGAAGATATTGATTTGATAATATATAAAGTTTGATCATGACAAGTAGCAGATCAAGTTTGAATTTTTTTTCCGGTCTGATGATTTTGTGCAGAGCTATGGTCCTTGGACTGAGAAAATTCACTTAAATAATAAGTTTTCCACACTTTTTTCGTCATGCTTGAAGATATTGACTTGATATTTGTTATTTAGTTTACATCATGACAAGTTATAGATCAAGTTAGCATATTGTTCCAGTACAATGAATTTTTAACCGGTAGGGGACTCATGAAATTTTATAACATAACTTACCCTTATTTGGTCAAAAGTAGGTCAGTATATTCTACAGATCCTGTTGTCCATTGTTGGTCGTAAGGCTGCATCATATGATAATTTGACAATATGTTTAAGTTGATTCTGAATAAATTATTGGGTTTAAAAGCATAGAGAAGATCTCGTTTTTACTAGCCCTTTGATTCATGATGGCCCGAATTCTCAGTAAAGCAACACTGATGAGTCATGCAGGACACCTTTTTTGGCTTTGACTCACTTAAATTTCTGAACACAAGATCAATAATTTAAATGAGGGATTAATCAAAATTTTAAGATATTGACTCATTAATGGGACTTGGGGAAGTAAATTCATACCGTCTGAGATTCATACCGTCTGAGATTCATGTTGTGTAAATTGAGCGTTAAAGCTTTCAAATGGAATCCCCATTATGATTACTTTTAAATGATATGATAATAAGAGTTAAATATTCCAATGGAAGGTATACATACTGATTAGCTCAATGTTATGTCTCCTTTAGCAATTTTATAAATTTTATAAAGAGTCATTAGCTATGATAAAGGTTATATTATTACATCTCTTTAACAATTCCCATACATGTGTAATATCTGCTTAATTTTTGTTCGGTTAATCATTTTTTTAAGTCTATGATAAATTTTGTTATGAATATTGGATATCTCTTGAATTCTGGTAAATTAGTCAATTTTCACTTATTATTTTCAGATTGTGAAGATCAGCTGACAGAAAACCTCTCATGCAGGTAAAGATTCAATAATCTGATTCTGATTGTACTCATGATATATGCAGTCCTTTTAATTATTCTTGCATTTGAACGAAAGTGGAATTTTTATTTTGTTTTAATTCAGTTAATTAATGACATTTTGATTTTTTTTGAAGACAATAGGATTAGCTATTACTGTAGAATTTGAATGAGAGACAATATCGGTATTGCCTGCAGTCATTTGATATCAGTGCTTTTCAGTTGCAATCAAAATCCTTCAAGTGTTAACAAATAAGTCAAGTAACACCAGCAGTTCAATAGGAAATTTTTATTAGAACTTATTTTGAATATTGCTACACGTGGAAATAAATTTTCAGGAGTTGATACAGCATTAGTGGAGGTGACTTTATGTTAGACTTTCTGTAGTTCCACATGATGAGATGCGGTTTCAACATCTTCTTTATACATATGTACAGTTCTCCATAGAATATAATGTACCTTTTTGGAGAAATTTGTTAATGTGTGTATGTTTTATGTTTTAAGTATAAAGCTGATAAATTAGTTTTTACGATTTTCATTAAATGCACTTCATGAAGATTCATCACTTAAAATGGTATATTTTTAATCCAATATACAATTCAAAGAGTTCAGAAAATTATATTGTCTGTGAAAAAACAGCTACAATCTGCAACAACAAAAAGATGTTAATAATACTTACATGGTTCCAGACTTGGTTCAGGAACACCAATATATTAATGTAGCTGGGTTGGCCAGATTTGTTGACAGGATATATATCTGAAGTCATTCCAATCACAGGTGCTTGGGTTCGGGTGGGGATATATTTTTTTTCATTGTTTGCACTGAATAATATTCAATTTTCTATTTATAAACCACTATACCCTTGTCTTACCTAGTTAGGGATGATTTTATCAGCTCTGATACAATCCCTTATTTTTCTATCCATACTCAAAAACAAGGTTGTTTATTTAGTATGGATAGTTATAATATAAGGGATTGTACATTATAAATAAAATCAAATGTAGAAAGGAAGTTCTGAACATCCATATTGATTATCAATCAGATCTTTTTATAATGAAACTAAACTTGTGAGGAAGCACGGTGTATATTCAGAACGCTTGCTATCCGATTCAATCGACATAAAAGCTTGCTTTCCGATACGCGTAATGCTTGGTTTCAGATTTTTGTTGACATTGAAGCAGGAGACATGAAATGAGAATGGACGATACTTTAATCGGATGGTATAAGGTGTTCTCTCTTGTATCTCATAGAACACTAAAGATATTTTTCTTGATAAAAATGAAATGCATGTCATCATAAAAGTTTGTAATCAAGTTGTAAACAGTCACACAAACGCAACACTGTAAACAATTGAATACAAGAATGCATTTCGTATGAAACTGTTTAAAACATTTTTCAAATTCACAGCTTTAAAATCCTCTATTGACTTTCCTTTCATTGATACTGTTCAGTTTCTCGAAACTCATTTAATCTACCATAAATGTCCATTGAAAAAAATCATAGGAAACTCTGTTTTTCAGATTGTTTACAAACGTCAATCTGGGAAACAATTGCTTCTCGATTTTCAGGAAACGACTTCTTTCAGATTTTTCAGAACAATTTTCTAAAATGTTCAAATCGACACATTAAGTTATTTGTTCTTATCATACTTTATGTATTTCTCTTGGTATACAAAAGAAAAATACAAAATGTATGAAACACAAAAAAAAACTTGAATAAAAAGAAATCCCTAAAATAATCACAAAAAAAAAAAAAATATAAAAACGAATCATGTGTTCTGAAAGGGTAAATAATTTTTGCTGCTTCTGTGTTTGAATTACAAGATTTAATCAATAATTTTGCTTGCCGAAAGAAAGAAAGATAAAAACATAAAAGGAAAAGAAAGGACTATGGCTCTCTCCACAAAAGAGTACATGAAAACAGATATTAAATATATCTGCAAGAGATTAATGGATTAATACACTAAATAACTGTTATCTGACCAAAGCTCTGAAAAAATCAACCTGTAATGGTTCAATCACAGTATCACAGCCTATGTGTGTAATTACTTATTTTATAAAGTGATTACCTAATTATAAACCAAGGGATATAATGCAGAAATTTTGGGTATGTATACCCAAAACATACAAGAAGGTTAGCAACAACCTCAATTATGTTGAACGTAAAGTTATGTGTTGTCTTTTAGTCACATTTGGTTATCAACGTTCTTCGATGCAATATTTCGTCATGGACATGCATGAACTATTTGCCAACCAACAATCAATCAATCAATCGATGCAAAATTCGACAAAAAACATGTAAAGCTTGCAAATTTGTTTTGAAAATGCTCACAACAGCAACATGTAGCGGTGAATAACATGTTGATTTTATGGAGAAAAAAAATTTAAAGTATATTATATAAACTATATGGATAAGCGGGTTCTTACATCTCAGGGAGGGGGACACTTACTTTTTCCTTGCTTGATAAAAATGAAACGTATTCAAATGGAAGATATACATGATATAGGCATGATAGGGAAAGGAAA